GGAGGAGTGGATCGTAACAAGCGTGGCTACGAAAGAGTCGACCCTTTTGGTGGCCGAAACTGTCGAAGGGACAGCCATAAGCGCAGCGCAGGAAAAGCTCCATGGTGTTAGGCATCTGACTAGTGCAGGCAGCAACCGCGGATTCTTATCAGTGGCAGCGACCCCGCATTCCCCGTTCAGTCACCTCGCGCGTGATCCATAAAGCGAACGGGATTTGAGGTTAAGGAGAAAAGTTGGCCATCCAAAGTTGCAATTTCGTGTGCCCACTCACAGAGAAACTATGCTTGTTCGGATATGACGCGCTGCCCGGAAAGAATCCATGAAGCTGATCGACAAGGACACATTCAGCGGTTCGTGGAGGGGCACAAGAGTTTCTTGGCCTTACGCTGAAGTCATCCACCAGCAATTGACACCTTCATGCTGAAGGGGTTTGTGGTAAGCTTAAAGGTGGACGCTCCCTCAAAGCTTTTTGTGATAACCTTCTCAACGTCAAAATTTAGCAAGACGAGGATTACAATACTTTTAAGACGCTGTTGCTTGCCGAGAGTTGGTTCATCACCGGCCAGGACTATACAGGTTTTCAGTTGGAACGGTCGAGACCATGGAGCCGTCTCTTGGTTGCCACACTTGTATCAACCTTTTCATTGTCCACTAAGATGGTAGAAACCGCGATGTGAACGCCCTCCGTCTTCATGCTTCCGATCTATCGTCAACGATGTAAGGTCGTCCTTTCTCCGAAAATTCCTAATGATGTCGAGGTAGACGACGATTGGAAAGGAGGTTGGGCAAGATACAGAATCTCCTTGTCCACAGTACAGGCTCCGTCTTTTCAGAGCGTGGCACTTAACTCTGCAACGATGCTGATGTAAACTGCCAAGGTAAGAAAATCAGTCGACCGAGTTGGAAGAAGGCTAGATGATAAGAACAGGGACGTTCGAGTCCACCACCGAAGACTTCATGCTGAAACATTATGAGGCTCGATCTAATACTAAACCTGATACAGTCTAGCAACTGGCATCAGCATAGAACAACACACGTAGACGACAGACCATACTGGTCACGTGGAGCAAGAGCCTCATAGCAAATCTGGAGGACAATTTGGCTCTGCTTCGTGATGTGACAAATTGGTTTCACCGAAGGTGGTATTAGAGGGTAATGTCAAATCGTCTTTATCGACAACGGCCTGCCGCACTCGATCAGCTGTCAACGTGGTAGCTATATCACCTGTGACGGATAGCGAATGAGTTGAGAGAGTATGTTATCGTCGACGACAGTCTCTTCACAAGACTAAAATCGAACCGAAGATATGCGCGCCTGACTCGAGACAATTCTCCGACTGGTCATCAGTCCTTCCCAGCTACCTCGTGGGACTGGCGAACAAGAGCATCACAAGTCCTCCTCGTCAAAATCATCGAATGGCCAGTGCTTCAAAGTCATCTCCTTCTCCTCTTCGGTATCTAGACTCTCCAGCCCCTGCCTTTTGATCAATCTTGCGTGTTCTACGGCATTGTCATATTCCTCGTTGGACGTCCATCCGTCGACGGTGATCCCTATAACATCTCGAACGTCGCTTAGTTGCGTGTCGGTGTCCTCCTGCTGTCCAAGAATACCAATAGTTTTTTGCACGTCGGCTTCAGTAAATGATACTGGACAGGAAGGCAAAGTTTCTTGATCGTACCCATTGTCTTCCAAAAGCTCTCGCCAGATTTGTGTAATGTGTATAAGATCTGACTTCAAGGGGATGTTATTCCCTTCCCAAGGCTCACCGGCATGATTGACAAGTTTCCGCGTTAGAAGATCCGTCCGTCGATTGAGAGCTTCGAAATGGGCAGGATGAAATCGTTGTGTGAAGCCTAGGTAGAAGAAATGAAGGTGGCGTCGTCTAAATCGTTCCAAGACCTCAGCTTGTTCCTCGTTGTCCATTTCGGCCAGATTTGAGGGCAGTTGGGGTGGGATAAATTGCAATGATTCTTCGTCATGATAGTTCTGGAAGTATTTTGGAATGCCAGCGGCTAAGAATTGGGGAAGGACAGAGCAGTGCTGCCAGTCGATCATTCCGACAATGTCAAAATTTTCAGAGACGAAGATGTTGTTTGGTTGGAGATCAGGATGGCGCAGGACTGGTTTGTGAAACCGAGCCTCCTGTGGCACGAGATACAAGGCTATCTTCAGATACTTCTTCAAGTTGTCAGCGTGTTCTTCTGGAGAAGATCTTTCGTAATTCATACATTCGCGATACGCTCGCTCGAATGGGAGACAGGGTCGTCCAAACGCTTTCATCCATGCCAACTCTTTCTCAGCAACACGCGAAAGCAACTGGAGCGGAGAAGAGTCCGTAATATCAGTCAGCAAGCGACAAAGAGACAGGAAGGGAGGGAGAAACAGAGTACCTACGAGGACCACGTTGCACGTCAAGTGATTCACGCTCCTTGTACCACCATCTCAAGCTGACATCAGGGCCGACACACAACCCTTTGTCGTTAGAAGCGGATGCAAACATGGTGTGAGACACATCAGCTGGAAGATCGTGCTTGTAGTAAATGCTGCCGTACGCCGGCAGGTCTATCTTGGAAAGGTTGACTTCTATTCGCACAACCTCGGAGATAACCTTGAGGCGCTGGTCCTCGGACAAGCTGAACCATTGATCCCCAAGAGGACGCCCAGGTAGTTTCTCCATAATGATGAACTCTGCCCCGACAGGGTTCTCAGCGTCTGGTGAATAATGTAAGACTTTTGGTACAGGTATACCATGAGATCGGACGAGCTCTAAAGTTGCAACCTCGCTAGCTACAGCGAATCGTTTGGGCTTTGTTGAGGGATACGGAAGGCGAGCAAGTACCTCGGTACCATCTTTCATCGTGAGCTGAAACACGCGATTGAAGCCACCTTCCGCGAGCTTAAGAATTTCTCTTACTTCAGACTCTGCTTGATTGAGGCACTTAGCGACGGCCTTTTTGAGCTCGTCAACATTGAAGACAACCCTTCGTTCAGCGAGGCGAGTGGACTCATTGTACCTGCAAGATATTGAGTTACATGATGACTTCGCCAAAATATATGAAACACTTACAGCCATCTGCCGGATGTGTATTCAAAAAGCTCGGGACCATAGACCATCGCGCGGCTGCCTGCTCTCAAGTGGAAAAATGAGCAAAATGGGGCCACCGACCAGGACCTTTCTACTGGAAGAATATGTCGCCCTCGACGACTGCGACCCAGCAAAGAGAAGAACATTGATCTAAGTCGTGAAGTCCATTTATCTATAGTTTCCGAGTTCAAAGATGACGACCGTGGACTTCAAGCCTGTCGAAAGAAGGTAGCTTGCATATCGTCCATATCCTGGCATCCGGCAGAATCACGGAGATGCCTCGCCAAGAACGTTTCCCTTTTCCGGCGTCGATCGACAAGAGTGCTCATCGCTCATACTCTTTGTCGTTTAGGTGGGAAGGAACATCACTAAAACAGTCACTTCCTGGGCCGACCAGTAGGGTCGGCGGCTAACAATGCGCAACATGATACGTCAAAGGGGCAGCGACTGACATGGTGAAACAACACGAACCCATGAAATTGTGCCCGGCTAAATTTCGCCAAGTACAGATATACTGAATCATCCTAAGGACTACGCGCTGTGGCGGCAACGTCAAATCATAACAACACAAGCCACTTCTCCAGTGCGGCGGTTAGCAGTGTGTACCAGCGGCTGAAATGGAACAATTCGAGAGAGCTTTCCTCTGCCACTGAATACGTATTTAAAGCTCAGGTGTCACTAGTCACAGACTTAGAAGTTGCAAGACCTTATTTGGACAACGAGTTATAATTCCAGGCGTTCAAGTGCCCAGATCAACCTATCCGGAAAGCCTGATCGCATTGAGTGATCTGCCATCTTGCAGTAACCACTTCGGCACAGTCTGCCTGGACTCTTCGAAACTTCTTTTAGATGGTTCTTATTGGCCTCCAGGCAACCGGGACGAGTACATAACATTATGAAGGCTCTTAAAAACCTCGGCGACACAGTGGTCAAATCTGGGGCCTGGAAGAAGCTGGTCAACCCAAGCGCAAGCAGAGGCAAAACCGAGTGGCCCAAATCGACAGCAGATTTGGAGAAGATCGGTGTTCGATTGGACTATGACGGGCAAGTCATTCAGAATGGGGTTACCTATCACAAATATCAATGTCAGCCAAACGCAGGCAAAGTACCCAGTTCTATCAAAGATTGGAGGGAGTCAAATGGTGGAACTCATGCCGTCATGACAAGTATCTATGTCAAGAAAGATGGCACGAAGGAGGAAGTCCAGGCGGCAATCGATCAAGGAGTGAAGAAGGTCTCCGGAACATAGGAAGGACCGTGGCTTGAAGCGCAGGCGGCCACGACGAACAGTCGATTGTGCAGTTACTATGGTTCGTGGAAGAGAGATAACAGTAGCACGATTTGTTGGTCCTTGTATTGTTCGTATTCCGAGACGATACCCTACAGCGACTCCAAAAATTAGCGGACAAGCACAAATGGAAAGGAGAGATGAATGAGCGATGCACCTTTGTATTGCTGTTAGCCGGATGACTGTACTACCATGCAGTTCATGCTCTCTGTGTACGACAGATTGCATTGATTGGCATGTAGTATGTTGGTAGATAAGAGATACAAGTCCGATGACAAATCATATGAATGCGCCTTTCTTGTATCATTGTCTCTGTACTTATAACTTTCAACCGTGTATGCAGAAGCCAAGGCTGAAGGAAATAAGGTGCGAGGAATGTGACAACCTGACTCAGGTCTTTCGGTGGAAGCAAGCTAAGATCACAACAGCCAAGAAGATGGCGAAAATTGTGCAGGAAGAATTGGTTTCCCCCAAGCAGATGGTCAAGGACAGAATGAGTGTCGTCGGTTGAGCAAACAACTGTGACCAAATGCATGATCACACTGCTGGCACGGCACAAGCGCAGGTAGAGCGCATAGCGAACCAATCACTTTCAAATGCAGGACGTAACAAAAGCCTGTGGGAGAGCAAGGTTGCTGATTGGTTGATATACTCCTCCAGTTGAAGAGGCCTATTTGTAATGTGAGTTGCTCATGCAGGAACGGTCTTTGAAGGGGAAATGACCTGGCTGGCTGGCTGCGAAGCTTCAAGGGTGGACGGGCATTACAGCCTGCGTTCATCAGAGACCACCTAGACACAAATAGCAGCGTCACAAAGTGTATGTCTTAGTTCATGTTTTTTGTAGCGGCGCCAATCATCGTTTTGGATAATTCCATAGTGTCTGCGTAACGAGCGGATCTGAACTAATTATGGGTTGTGGCGCGCACCGATGACGTCGAATTCCACACTAATAAGATTAAGTAGTCCGCAAGTAGGTTACAGACGTCGAGGGTTGAGTGCTTTCCTCCTTGCTGCTCGTTGTTTGTCCTGACATAACTTCACACCCAGCTCATTTTCCACCACTTTTCGAGTTCAGACGTGCTTTTCATCGTGAGAAATAAGAAGTCCTTATTCGCACCGTTCTTTCCAACATTAACGGTCACTTCGCCTCCAATTGCGATATCGTCAATACATACTACCGGTAGCGTAATAGGTGGCACTGGCTCTCCACACCTCTTGATCGTATACACTGGTGTTGGTGAGCGGTCAAGCTCACAGAAGAGCTCTTC